ACTTCAAGTCTCTGCCCCCCACCCAACCCATCCCCCCCTTCCCTGCTGACCACCCTCCCCCTGCCCCCGCCTACCTCTGAAAACATGGGCAGTTTTTTGGCAAAGTCCACCACGCGAGTGATGGCCGGGGTAATGATTTTTGTAAACTCGCTGAACGCCTCCAGGTCGACCTTGTCCCCGTCGGGCATGGAGGCCATGGGCGATTGGCCGATGTCCTCGGGCTGTGGGGAAGGCCGGGACAGCCCGTCAGGGAGCCGGCCCGCCCAGCGCGCTGCCTGGACCCCTCTCCCCAGCCTCCTCCCTGCATGAGCCCCCACTGCCCCCCACCCTGGGAGAGGGGGAGGGGCTCAGGGCTCCTCCTCTTGCGCCCCAGACAGGCTGGGGGGGAGAGCAGCCTCCGTCTGAGCCCCTTGTGGCCAGGTCAGGGGAGAGGTGGGGGAGGGGGGCAGGGTAAGAGAGGGAGCCGTTCGCCCAGGGCACAGAGCCGGTCAGCAGCAGAGAACCCAGGAGTCCTGGCACCCTCTCCCCCACGCCTTGGCTCTCCCATGGTACCAAGGGGCTGTGGCCAGGAGAGGGAGCTCCCTCAGCAGCCGAACCCTGGCCGGCGTGGGAGGGGGCTGTGGGAAACCGCCTCCCCACTCAGAGCTGTGCCCTTCACCCACCCACAGGAGGCGGCATTAACCCCTTGGCAGCTGGAGGGGCCAGTGGGTGAGGCAAGACCAGGGCATGGACAAGCCCTTTGGAGGGGGCTGGGTTTTCTCCTGCTCGCTCCCGGGGGGACCCATCGTTCTCCTGTGCTGCAGGTTCTGGGGTTAGCCTCTGCCCACCCCGTCTGTGCTCCAGCGAGACCCCTGGGCACCGCCCCGCAGCCAGCACCAGACCCTGAATGGAACCAGCTCATCCTCCAGGGTGTTTTTGGGAAGAGAACCCAGGAGTCCTAGCTCCCAGCCCCCACTCCCAACCCACTAGACCCAGCCTAGGTCAGCAGAGTGGGGAGGGTGCCCCTATCTGGCAGCGCTTTGGTGACCCACGTCTGAAATGAGTTTACTGAGTCTCAGCCCAGTTCCCAACGGCTGCATCCTGAGACCTCCCCTCTAACGCGACTGACCCAAATGAGCCCCCTGAGCTCAGCAAAGGCTGAGCGGGGCACAGAGCCGGAGGGTCGCCCTGCCCCCATGATGGAGGATGGATGGGTCACAGGGGGCCTCGCAGAGCCATGGGGGAGAGGACGGGCTCAAGTTAGTGCTCTATGATCGGTCACCCACTTGGAGAGGACAGTATCATGCCACCAGGCCCCTCACCATGGTCTCTAGGCTCTGAGCCCAACAGGAGAGGGATGGCACTCCCACACCGGAAGGGGAGCAGGACAGGTCCCACACACGGACTGCACAGACACCGGCCATGGCCACAGAGCATGGGGGTGGGCTCAAAGTGTCCCCCACAAACTGCCAGCCCCTTGCAGTGGTATGAGGGCTCTGGGTACTGGGGAGGGCCGTGTGCTTGAACGAGCATTGCACAGCGCGCCAGGGCCCGTAAGCACGTGAACATGTGTGTGCGTGACTGCGGCTTGCACGCCTGCGAGGGAGCATATGGGCAGGGCTTGCCCGTGGTGCCCAGGACTGCAGGTGCGAGTCCGTGCTCAGCGACCGTGGCTTGCCCGCAGGGTGAGTAGGCGTATAGGCAGGGTGTGCCCGCTGCGGGCGGGGTGGGTGTAGGTGACACGACCGGGTCAGGGCGCTCACCAGGAATTTCCGCTTCTGTTTCCAGTGGCTGCCCTGGGCGTTGGTGCTACGATGCGCCTCCGTCACCACGTGGATCAGCTCCCACTCCTCGGCGCTGGGTTCCGGGCGGTGCTGCAGGGTCTTGATCATCTCCTCCTTGCGCCGCCGCTCCCGGTTCTCCTCGATCAGCTTCCGCTTGGCTACCCGCTTGGAGTCATCCAGCACCACTGGGGGCAGCACGCAGAGGGGGCGGGGCATGAGCACAGGGGGCGGGGCCTGACCAATCCCAGCTCAGTTCCACACAGTGGCCGTGGCGATTGGCCAGGGCGCCACTGCAAGGGCTCTGGGGGAGCCCCTCAATGGGCAGAAGGTGCACCCCGCGGGACGCAAGCCGTCCTGGGGGGAACCCCGGTGTCATGTTCCAAGTGACGAGTTCGAGGTCAGAGGCCTGGGGCTACCCACAGGGGCAGCCCCTCTCTGGGGGCTCTGCCCCACCTGCCTCCACGGGTATTGAGGGTGATCACCGCCCTCTGTCCCACCCCCCCAGCGCCCCACACCGGGGCGGGGCGGGGGGAGAATACGTGTCATTGTCTCACACTTGCAACCCCACCCCTCCGGCGTTAATCTCTTGCTGCCCTTGCGGCCGCCCCCCACTGCCCCCTGGCTTGTGGCTGGAAGAGGGGGGGCCAGCAATGGAAGCGGGTCTGGGGTCCCCCTCCCTGGCAAGCACCCGACCCGGGGAAAAGCCCCCAGACAGGCCTGTAAGCAGGGACTGCACCAATACCAAGCGTGTGAGCCTGGCCATGCGCTGCCTCCCCCCCGCCCTTGGCCCCGGGGCCCCCCCAGCCGCTGGCTGCCCCTCCCCACTTACAGTCCATGGCCATGCCCACGGCGATGCACTTCTTGAAGCGGCACAGCTGGCACTGGTTGCGGGTGATCTTGTCGATGACACAGCTGCCATCGTACTTGCAGGAGTAGGTCGGGTGCAGGTTCTTCTGGATGGTGCGTCGGAAAAAGCCCTGTGGGGAGCAGAACGGGCCCCGGTGAGACACCCGGGCCAACCCAGCCCTGAACCTATCCATCCCGCCCCGGAAAAGCAGGTGCAGGGGGAGCCCCCGTGCAGCCCCACAGGATCCTAGGGCTGGTATCGTGGGGATGTCTCCCAGCACAGGGGTGCAGCCACCTCTGGGGTGCAGCACAGCAACAGTTCCGTGGCAGGTTAGAACAGGAAGTGACGGAGGATCCTGTGACCTCCTCCAACATCGCCACAGCTCCCCTGCCCCAGAGGGGAGAGCGCCCCAGTGAGCCTCCTGCAGCACAGCGCCCCCTAGCGCCCGCCTGGGAAACTGAGCTCAGGGATAGGCAGGTGCCCTCTACTGAGCCCCCCCCCCCAGAGGTCTCCCCATCACCTCCAGACCATCCCTAATGCTGCAGAGCTCGAGAGCTCTCGCGGCCCGGCTGTGCCCTAGACACCAGGCACCTCCCTTGCATCTCACCTTGCAGCCCTCGCAGGTGATGCAGCGGTAGTGGTAGCCGGTCGCCTTGTCGCCGCACACGACACATTGTTCATCTTTGTCCAGGTAACTAGGGATGTACCCTGGGGAGGAGGGAGCCCGGAGGTTACAGCCCTGCAGAGCCAGCGTTCGGGGGAGAGAGGGAGCCCCACGGCCTGCAGGAAGCGGGTGCCCTGGCAGGGGGGTGTCAGGGACCCAGGCCCTGTGCCAGCAGGCAGGTGCCCCGGGGGGCGGGACGTGCACTCCGCCAGACACCAGACGAGACTGTTCTGCTCCGTGCGGCAGCCCCAGGGCCGGGCAGCACACGGGCAGGGAAGGACGCGAGTGGGGCAGGGTGTCACAGAGAATTGGGGCTGGCGCGAGTGCCGAGCAGCGGGCAGAGCTGAGGGCAGGCGCGGCCCAGGGCGCAGAGCAGAGACAACGCAGGCGTGTCCAGCGGGCCGCAGAGGAGCCAGCCAGCCAAAGCACGTTGCGCTCAGCAAGGCTGGGGACAGAGAGAGAGACGCCCCCTGGATTCGAGGGCGCCTTGTTCCGGCAGGTGGGGATGCAAGCGGGCGGAGGGGGCAGCTCAGGGGGCGCCGGGTGCGGCTGGCGGTGCTGGGAGGAGCCAGGGTCTTGCACGGAAAACGCCGGACGCTGCAACCCAGGAACTTGACTCAGGAAACACAGATGTAGATGGGCACAGAGCCACCCTAAGCAGCCCGTGCCCCCCCCGCCATTCTCTCCAGCAGCCCCTCCACGCTTCCCCCCGCACTCTCCCACACCCCACACCAGCCCCTCCATGCTCCTAAAAGCATCCGGCCTTGCTCCCATCCCACCCGGGGAGCTCTGCCAGCCTTGTCCCTGGGACAGGCCCCCCCATCACAGAGGTCGTGTTGTTTGCTGAGCCAGTGGGTTTATCTCCCGCCCGCAGGGCCCCACTGTCCAGCCTGCTGGAGCCGATACCCTGAGCTGCCCCGGGCCAACCTCCCGGGGACTCGGAGCTGGGCCCGCCCCCGTACGCCAGGCCCTGGCCTGACCCCGAGACCCTCCCTAGGGCGCTGTAGGGACGGAGCTCCTTTGTGGCAGGACCCTGCGCCCTCCTGGCCTGGATCCTGACTGCCCTGGGAAGGGGGCACTAACCCGCCCGTGGCTGTGGTGCCTCCCAGCCTAGGCCAGGGCCCAGTGACGACGCCAAGGAGAAAACAGCTGCATGCCTGACCCATCAGCCGGGGCACAAGACAACACCCTGGGGTGCCCGCAGCCTGTCCTGGGGACAGGGGGACAGAACAGGCCCCAGGGCGGGGGGGAGTGGACAGGCCTGGCCTGGGGGTGGGGGACACACAGTACCTGACATGCTGCTCTTCACCGAACATTGGCTGCTCTTTCTTTTGCGTTTCCCATCCAGCCACCTGCAGCAGAGCGAGAACAAGACCTGGTTACTGGCTGCAGCGACGCCTCCCCCTGACGGGAGCTCCCCCGACAGGCGGGTCGCCCCTCCTGTCCCCATTGCACGGTCGGGCAAGCCGAGGCCCAGGGCAGCGACCCACAGGCCAGCCCCAGCTCAGGCTGCAGGTACCAAGGGGCCGGCCAGGGGCGGCGACAGCCCGTTATCTGGAAGAGCAGGGGAGATAAGGGGCTTGGGAGGGCCAGGGGAGGCTCTGAGCACCCCCCCGCCCCGCCCCAGCTTCCCTGCCCCAGGCCTCCTCCTCCCATCCACTGACTGACATCCACCAGCCCTATAAACCTGACACCACCCCCACACCCCACTTACCCCAATCCCCCCCAGCCCTGTATCTCTGACCCGTTCCCTCCAACCCCTGACCCCCCGGCCCTCTAACCCGGACCCCATCCCTCCCCGCCATCTAACCCTGTCACCACCCCCACCAGGCCTCTAACCTGACCCGTTCCTCCCACCCCCCAGCACAGTCTCACGCTCTCCACACCCTCAGAGTCTCAATAAACAGGAATCCAAGGGTTGGATTCAGATGCCCCAGAGCAGTGAGATCCGGGGGGTGGAGGAGAAGGGGGGACAGGGGGGGGTGGAAGCTGGCTCCCAGCAGTGGCACCCAACCTGGCCAGTTCAGAGCAGGGGGCACTGATCTGCCTGCCGGCTGCAGAGGGGCCTTGCATGCCCTTCTGTCCCCAGGGCAGCCGAGCTCGGAGGGGTTTGCTGCAGGGACGCCCCAGGAACCCCCAGGCAGAGGCGACGGGAAAGTGGCCGTGCAAACCACAAGATGGCGCCGTGACATGCCACGAGCGAAACAGCCCCTGGCTGGATCCAGAGCCTGAGCGGGGGGGGGGCGAGAGGGGGGGTTGGCAGAACCCCCGGGGGAGGCGGGGGGGAATTTACCACCACATGGGCAAAGGGCAGCACATCCCAACCACTGTCCACTCGGGCCTGCCCCTGGGGCTCTTCCAGCTCCCTGGGTCCAAGAGGGGCCATGGATTAGCACAGGGCAAGGGTCCCCTGCTGCCAGGCCTGGCAGGCACGGCGCGGGGGGCACAGGGCAGGTGGGGGGCAGGGCAGGTGGGCGCGAGGCAGGAGGGCACAGGGCAGCCGGGGAGACAGGGCATAGGGGACCGGGCAGGTGCAGGGGGCAGGGCAGGTGGGGGGCAGGAGGGCGTGGGACAGCCAGGGAGACAGGGCATAAGGAACCGGGCAGGTGCAGGGCAGGTGGGGGGCAGAGCAGGCGGGCGCGAGGCAGGAGGGCACAGGGCAGCCGGGGAGACAGGGCGTAGGGAACCGGGCAGGTGTAGGGCAGGCGCAGGGGGCACAGGGCTGGTGGGGG